GAAAATTAGGTGTAAACTTGTGTGCCGTATAATCCTAATCAATTTTTTTAAATCTAACAACTATCTATTAAATCTTTCAGGCAGAAACCTGGAATCAATACAAAACAATAATGATAACAGTTTGAACGTATCTGTAACAAATTGGTATAAGGTATTTACCATATGAATTCACTGCGTTCACTTATTAAGAAAACGACATGATCACTAATTGTATCATTTTACAGAATTACATGGAAATTTTACTGCATCATGATGTCAAAATGATCTAGTAAACTAAAAATCAACATATACGATCAAAGTGAACTAACTTGATGAAAAGTTTGACATAGAAAAGTTGATTAAAAAGTAGAATAATAAATAGTTTTGGTGAACTAAGTAACTGAAAAGTATCAGTTAGTAATGAGAATAATTAAACGAAAAGGATGTTAATAACCATCATATTTTCATTAAGTCACAGAATATTAGCAACAATTTTCAGTTTCAAATTCACAACATTGAAAACACGTGAAATTTGCAAATATTTTCTTATAGTAGTAGTTATCACTTTAGTTTGATACTGGCTGAAATAATAAGTGTTTGCATGAATATTTCTAGTTTAACAAATTGCTTCTTTGTAAGTAGTAACATATATTTACTTAGATCATATCAAATCAATGGAACCGAAAACTAACTGCACCAACTGCACTAGTAATGTTTATTCAATCTTAAAATGAGTGTCTTCTTTAACTTACAGGTATTTAAAGTTAATAAGGGAACAAATATCCTTAGAACAAACATTAAACAAAATAAAATTCAATGAAACTTTCTATGAATCAATGCTAGTGACCGTTAAATCTTGATTATCAATTTTCATTAAGATTTTGTTGATAGAGTAAATTGATAATTTTTTCTTTAGATAAAAAAGCATCTTTTTCGATAACATATGACAATGATTATGAAACAAAACTCTGAATTTATAGCTTCGAAATTCAGATAAGTCCGGCCTAAAAGTGAGCTATTGAGAAAGGCGTACAGAGAAGCATTTAAGTTGACTTCTGAAATTGCAGAGTAACCGCACAATGATAAACTAGTTAACAAAACTTGCTTCTCTTGACGCAGCTTTGAATCATTTGAAAACGATAAATTTGCATCTAACATGTGCTCTTTCTTCTATCCTCTAAAACAGAGAACTTTCAAAGCTGTTGCAAAACATTTCAGAAGAGCCCCGAGCAGATTACTCGTCAAGTGACTACTGGCTTTGCTAAAGAACAATTACCCGCGGGACCCTATACCTCAACATGTGCTTGAAGCTGCATGACAGGGCCCGAAAAAAGTTTGGTATGATAATAAACCACACATTCTCCGGATTAAAAATCTACAATACTAGGACCAACACTGTTCTACCCAAACTGAAACTACAGGTTAAATGTTTATCATACTGAAGTAAAGAAAATCCTATTTAGTACTCAAAAACCTGAAAATTGAGAGCAAATTAGCATTAAATCTAAAAAATTATGATCTTATGTCTCTGTAGTAATCTAGTGTAATCTAGATGACTCCACTGATATTGCTCTTAAATATCATGTAAATTTAAGAGGGAGATAATCACTAACGTTTAACTTCCAGTTCATATAATAAGCTTCTAAAAAAATTTTAACTTACCGATAGGATCTACATAATCGAAATGATCAATGAATGTTCGTCTATCCAAAAATAGTGATAACTAATTTAACATTATTTAGCACATTATAAATTTACCTTTCCATCAGGAGTGGCTTTTTTTAAAACACTGAGTACTTCAAAGATAATTTAATTTCATCTTACTCGAAACAACGTAGTTCTGATCCTTTAGTCGTCATTTTGCTTACGTCACGATAACAGAGTCATTATCAAAACTTTTAACGATGCTCACTAAAGGTCAAGGTCGAAAATACCCACATTATACGTTTACAACAACAAACCATAACTTTCTATTCCTAGTGATAGAATAATCAGTTCTCAGCTTTCAGACCGAATAAAAAGACTTCTAAAATTCTAAATGTGGTTTTTATGGTTCTTACTGATCATGAGTCTTTACGCGATGCAATTTTTGATCGGTGTAATCCCCGATCGTTTTACAAGCAAAAAACTATTTTTCATATTCGTCACGTCCTTGAATTAAACAGTACATTCCCTGACTCGTCGACATGGGTAAGTTTCCTAAACCATCAGAAGTGAAAGTAGTGCTTAATGACCTCACACTCAAAGACGATAAGAACAACCACATTTGGCATCAACAAACTTTAAACTTCAGCTTGTAGATGTCGCAAATAGTCAGATGCTAACCATGCTTTCATCTTTACCACGTTTCTAATTAGCGAAACCAAAAACCCAGTCAAACCCTAAAGTCAGGAAGGAAGACTATGGAAGTTATATATTCGAAGGTTGATTAGGACTTCGAGGAGTAAGTGAACTGACCTAGCTAGCTGATATGAGGGGATACATACCAGGGCAAACTCAAAGGCGATTTAGTACAGATGTGTGACCAGGCGCTTTCAGTAAGTGAATTTCACCTAATGTCAAAGTCGAAGGCTTACAGAACTATCACTTTTGGCAATTTATTCACGCACTTCCCTACGAACAGGTTTGCGACAATAGTTGGGCACGATCAGCCAGAAGTCCGAATGCAGTTCGCCACTTCAGTACGAACTTTTCTGATAGCCTTCTTCGTCTATTAAAGTCTGGTCATCCTTCACTACTCTGAGGGGTCACGTGATACATACATACATTCGTCCTCTTCTTTTCCGCTATTTCCAATCCGCCTGGAATGACAGAAGTGGGAACTGGTAATAATGCTGGAAAGTACTCGTTATTAGGTAAACAAGAAAAACGTGAGAAAAATCCTCAATATATGTATCTATCTTGGCGTCAAAAAAAAACTTTCCCTCAATTTTAGTGAAATTGATACAAGCATCTTTTTCCCACTAGCTAAGACGGATATTGGCAAATACGAAGACTCCAGTTGAATGAGGTCGAGTAGAAACCGATTCAATTACATGTGATGTTAGTGAGCCAGCTCGTATGAGACTTCAGATCAAAATTCAGTGAAGCGACTGAAAGATCTACCGATTCTCTTGGAAATCGACGTGTCGCATACTCTGTAAGTTCGGCAGCGGTGCATCAGAAGTCGGCTTTCACCGAATTTCAAATTTCGAGAAACATGATTCGGAGGGCTGCAGTCTACTTTGAGACGTTTGAATCTGAAAGTGAGGCTCCTAACTGTCGGTAAAATCGTTCTGTCCAACGGTCAGCCAATAGAGGCTAAGCAGTAATCCGTTATCGCGTGATTTCTAAGAAAATATTGATAGAGAAGAAAGGTCCAGACTATATCAAATATATTGCGATGGTAATGATTCAGCAAGATTTTACAATCCCATGCCCGTAGATCAAGTTATTGATGTGATGCACAATTTGAATCCAAAACACATTTTTTCGTAAGTAGCACTAACATATCGTCTAAAGACAGTCTTACAGAAAACATCAAAGGTTTATGGTCTAGATACGGAGTAAACTATTGGCCTTCTATAAGGAGTTGTAAGTGTCGGATAGCACAATATACAGCTGAAAGTTTCCTGCCGAAAGTGCTAAACCTCGATTCAGCGTCTTGCAGCTCCCTAGATAAGATTTTTAGAAGTTGAAAACTGTCTACCCATTTTTGTATGGTGTTTCCAGCTGCTGAGTTAGACGTGTCCGCAGCGATAATCATCAGTTCATAAGTGTACTACTATTCGAGTCTTATCTGCTTGGGAATTCACTCTTCCACTTTGAGAAATGCTTTCTTTGCAGCGTCGCCCAAATAAATGGTTTCTTATTTTTGTGTAGTTTGTTGGTTAGACGTCTCATGCGAGACGCACATCTCGGTATGGACCATTAGTAAAAACTCCCCAGTGCGTAGTTGTTTCATTGCGGTCGCCACTTTTTCTAATAAACGAATACCCTGAGCGTCAAACGCATGCCTATATAAGTCAAGGTGGTTGGTTTCAATTCTACAATTGTGTATGTTGACAGGAACGCCGTGTTTTTGTTGTCATTAGAAAATAAGGTCCAGTTGCTTGAGACGAGATTCTCTTTCTGTCCGGATGGTTAGGAAGCCATCAACAAGAGCTGACACAAAGTCAAGACGTCCTAAAGCTACGTCAATCGATTCCTGAAAAGTTTAAATAGTATTTCTCAAACTGAAAGGTTGAAAATGTTCAGATTTCACTAACTTACCAAGAAGACAATACGAAAAATATTGAATAGTAAATGCCCTGTAAATTGATGGATATATATCCTTAAACGAAGGTGCAAACACAAGCGCTTTCCAAATCCCTCATATTTTCCTGTATGCTGAGTGATTGTACATCTTCCTAACGAGCAGCAGGAAGTAATCCTTGGATGGTGTAAAACAGGTCACTCCAGTTATTATGCTTCCTGACAGTATAATGATGAATATACACAAAATCTCCTAACAGGATTCAATGTCATCCGCTTGCGCTACATAGGCTGAATATGGTGATTATTTAACTCCTTACTGAAGCCATCAGTATTTCAGTAAACTCTGCTGGACTGAGACGGACAATCGACAGTTCACCTATCTTCGTCTTGCATAAAGAAGAGATTTAGTAACTGTCCCAGTTACTTCAAGAATCCAAGTGCTAAAAACAGCTATTTGAGTGATCGGTTAAAGGGTTTTTGGAACTCAATTAAATATTCGTTCTCGTGTTAGGCTTGATATTTCACTTTTATCAACCACGAATTATGTTGTTTGTCTTTTTTTCCGTATTATCCAATGCTTTTATATAACTTGATACTACCTTAGATGAAGTGTATCACCGAAACATTTGGTTGAGATGGCAGCATGATCACATCCATGACTTCCAGTAGAATCTGCAGCTGGAATAATGAAATTTTATCCGATTTCGAAAATCGTTTCTTGTATCTAGATATGTGAGTATAAACTAAATTCTTAACATTAGCTTGTCACAAAGATCTTGTTCGAAGGATTAAGCGGGCAATTCAGTGGAATAAAATTCAGAGGGCATTTTGAACGTCTGCGCATTTCTGTCGACAATTAAAAGTTTCGAAATTCGATTGAACCCCAACATAAGTTTTGGACGTAAGTGTTGCTTGATAAATGTAGTGAACTTTTGCTCATAATAGTTTAGTACTAGTTTTCGCTATTGCCATCATTCTATTCAGCTCACAAGAAGCCTTAACTTCACTCACTGAGTAAATATCTACTAATGACACCAAACTCAATGTCTTACATTTAGCAAAAGATATTTCATTTTATCAGCTGTCGAAATCACAGCTGCTTGCCTTAAGTTTCACACATAAAATGCAGTCTCCCGATTCAAATATAATGTCGTTTGCTCAAACGAAATCAGTTTTGAATGAAACATTCTTGCCTTTCGGTATGGAAAATAACCATGTTTTCAAAACCTCATAGAATTCCACAGCAGTTTTTTAATTTGTGGTATTAAGATTGAGTTTAATCACTATAATCTTCAAAGTCCGTAACAGGTCTTTATATGTTGATCATGCATTCAATGGATAATTAAATGGTATTGTAATGTATTCTTATCTTAAGTCGCCATTGCTACTTACAGCTGTATATTACAACCTTATTGCCGAAATTCCTCAATGGATCCAATTAGATGGCACTGATATCAAAATCAAATTTATGCTGCAGAGTAAAACACTTTACTTGTTTCTCTAAGAACAATATCATAAGGCCTACCAAATACTTGGTGGTAGTGGCCAAATTTTTAATCTGTTCTTGACCATCTCCAACAATTTGAGGGATGAAGACTACTACTATAATTTCCTGCAAGGTTCAGAGTCATTCTTAAAGTACTGTTATCTCCTCTTGCTTGCTCAAAAACCGCTTCCTGTTCACCTTCATTCTTATTGTTCAATCGTTTGAGGTTTAAGTCTATTTTCTGATCTTATCGACTTTAAAACCCTCAAAGGTGTGAAACCTAATTGGAGGTGTCACTAAGGTCTGTGAGTACTTTCTATGCCTAAAGATTGCCATATCTTTCAAACAAGGTCTAGTAAAAAAAAGTATCCCCTTCAAGCAAGTTTTGATTGTTGACCTAAATAATGTATTGTATTGCTGAGTGGTGGTCTAGTAGCTATGACGTTCGACTTTTGCCCACTAAACACTATGATGGGAACCCATTCCACCTGCTTCACTTTCAGCAGATAGTATCACCAACCTTTTTTCAAAGTATTACTCATGCCCAAGTATTTAGTAAATGAGTTAATGTGAAGTCTTGTACCGCATTACGGTTCATATTAGTATCGAAAGGATCAGTACGTATATGGGAACCAGACTAATTGCTCGATAATCATTCATCAGATACATAATACGTGGATCGTTGACTCATATGTTGATAGGATACTTAATGTCTCTTATAAGTTGTAGGTAGTTTAGCAATATCTAACAGTGTAAATGTACGAAATTAATGTTTTTTGCACCGACATTATGCAACAGATGAGACCAATCCGAACAACTTTTATTCGCGAAAATCATCTAGTTACTTATCAACTATTAGGCTCAGTAAATGAATATTGTAATAAAGCGGTCTCATTTTGTTAATAAACGTTCAATTTAATCAGGTAGAACTTTAAAAGATGTCATCACAGGCGTTTCGCAGTTATTACTATTACTATTGCACGGTAGTATTGTCTGTCTGTCGAAAAGATCAAGCGTAGATAATACACTTCAAGAAGGACGGATTAACTCGCTCAATAAAAGGTACAATTTACCTTCGGAATTCAGCATCCAAATGTAGACAAAGTCTAAGTGCATCTGGACCATTGCTACTAATTCTGAGCCACGTCACTTGTTTCCAATAATTGCTCAAAATAATTTAACTCACTGCAACCAAGTAGTTTGTATCTACCAAAATAAGTCACGTGAAAAGTCAATAAATTCACAAGACAATCCTAAACAACATCACATATCAAAGGAGCAAGGATTGTAATATTTAACACATGTATGGACCACCCCAGTCAACGAAGATACACAATCTATTCAACCAGCTTGCACTTTTCTAACTCGGTGCTCCCAACTCTGTCTTTATTTTGTGAGACGATATCATGTTTGGAAACGTTAGTTATATGAAGAAAACAGCTTCGAACTTAGTGTTCCAGCTGATGTGCTTCACTTAGGTTATCGCGATAGACAACCCTGACCATCACATCAGTGTACCAACTATGGTTTGCCATTACTGTATAGTTTACCGATGAGTATTAGAATCTGACAGTCACCATAACGTTGGGTATTTCAGCATAAATAAACCCACTGGTGTCAGCAAGTTTTACTTCAGTTTCAGTATGTTGGTAACGAAGGCTTATACATGTTTTACGTCCATGTGGAGGATTGGATACCATCTTAAGCAAATGCCGTTTGTAAGTGACCCTTGTAAGCCATATCCAAAATAATATACGCTCTGGATAACCACTTTTCTACCTGATTAGACGCTTAGGTTAGAAACCAGGTATTAAGAAAAGATAATAGACTGGTTAATTGGGTCAAATCTTCAACAGATGTGGTTGGAACATATCCATACCTCATTCGGTGGAGCTGTCCGGTATAAGAGTAGGTTGGAGGAAAGCTAGCAGTGATCAAACCGAGACATAGCATCAGCCCATGAAGTCACTGAAAATCGAACTGATCCATGTTAACAGGTGTAGACCACCTGGTTGAGGTCCGCGTGATTATCGTAACCAAGGGTTAGACTTTAAATTAAATGGCGTGAAGTCGTTTAAAATAGTGCAGATGTATAAATTGCTTGTTTTCCCTCAAAATCTAGGCTTCTAAATTCCCTATAATTTTTCTATTTCATTAATTTATATTTTCTTGAATTATATCTTCACTGTGTAATCTTCCTTTACTACAGCTAATACTATTATTACCTCTACTAGTCTGAGATTTGGCTTAGTAATTTTGTGTTAATGGAGTGTGGCAACTTGAACCAATGTACATATTGTACCAAGTTCTACGTTGCGACTGGCTGACTGTTAGATACATTAAGGTCGGTAGGCTTGTACATAGAAATAAATTTTTTGCAACTATTTATTTCTTTTACGATTATTTTTAGTATGACTCATTTGATAATTACTTGTACATATACGGCCTTTGTTTTCATCTTCCAGATGAGAATTATACTATTCCATTGGCTAAATCAATGAAGGCGTAATGCTACCAAGTAGTTAAGCCTCTGATCCACACCTTATTAGCTTTATTATGCTTTGTACCATTTTATAAGCCCCTGTAACAGCGTACCTTTGTCCATTCCTAAAAAATCTGATACTCTCTATTTCAAAACTCAGTTAGTGGAACATTTAGCTCCTACTGAAATTCACTCACATTTTCATATTTACTTGGGATTTTACTATAACTGCAAATATTTGTTTTCATTTTTATACACGTAACATTTTCACTGCATAATCATTATGCTAAAGTAGATCGTTTTCTCTTTTTAGAATTCCGATGAAATTTCCATGCACCTTGAGCAGCACTCTTCTATCCAATATATCTTTTTTAACTATGGTCTATCTTCACTTTTATCTGACATTCCGATACTTGCCCAACTCAGTTTAACAAATTCAATCCTATTATTTTTCATGATCAACTCTTCAGTATATTCTGAAATGGATGATTTTGATGATCATGAAAATAGATTTGCTCGGCGCAAATGGTGTCCATGGTCTTCATGGAGTCCATGCTCTCCAACTAAATGCTTTAAAGGTTCTGTAAATAAGAATCCTGCATTTTGGTCAAATCGTGAAGAATTTCCGGTTGATGATGATGGTACACAAATTACACGTTGTGTTCTACCGCCAACAAATAATACCAGAAAACCTAGTCGAGCATACGTACAACAAACAATAAAAGGTCAACATAAAATTCTTATTCCAGAGAAACAACGTTTTCGTACCTGTGATTGTCAGTCAGTTTCTTTACTGAATGTATTCCGTTTGGTTAGTCGACATGAGTGTTCTCGTAAGTCTCTTTATTACGTACTTTTTCCTATGACAAGTTTTGTCTGTATTTGCTAATGAATGTTTCATTTACTAAGTTCTAATTAATTCATCTTATAATACTGCTGTATACTACAGTGAGTATAAACTACAGATTACAGTTTTTAACTGTTGGATTTTAATTGCACTTTCTGTTTCTGAAAGAAGTCTCTGACTGATTATAACTCAATGAAGTAATTCTCCAATCAGTCGAAACGAACTTAAACAAAGGAATTTTATTTATTTGAATTTACTGTAAAGTCGGTGTATTACACCGACCAGTACAATCTAGTCTATTTGGAAATGAGGTGGTTGTCGATCAGTATCATTAGATGACTGAAAATAGAATACCATTGAATACCATCTCCGTTTTATGGAAGTTAAACACTCACCACCAGTGTTAGGTTCGGTCCCTGGTGGGGGTCATGTGTTCAGATTGTTAGGGAGTTCTGAACCATGACAAAGTACCTGTCCAATTCTATCTTGCTTTGTGATAGTTGTATATCTTCATTCAGTTGAACTGATCCCTGAAGTGCTCTGCTCGTTTTAGTAGGTTTAGACTACCTGGTTGGGGTCCGCAAGATAATAGTAACCGATGTTTAGAGACCCTGAATGACATGGCGCAAAATCGTTTGCAATGGCGCAGGTGCATTCATTCTTTTTGTTCTCTCAAACCCTAATGTTCTGAATTCCTCATCACCTTTATCTTCCTCTTTTAAGTGTATTTCACTAGATTCTACTTCTTGAATAATATCGTCGAACCCTAAAATTTCCGACTACTGTTAACACTTTTACTACCTCTACTATTATGGGATTTGAAGTGACAATCACATCTCTCTGCTAATGTGGTATGGAAACTCGAACCGACGTACGTACATACGAAGTTCTACGTTGTTACTGACTGATTGATCTTCAGTCAGTTCGCGACCGAAGCTGCTACCTTGACGTGGTGGTCGGGCTTGCCTATCGTGATGACCCAACCTAGCTATATTGGCTAGAACTTATGTTCCTGAAGGTTCTGTCATGCCAGGCAGGTCGATTGGCGAACGATGAGACTAAAAGCAGCTACCCAAGGTCTGAGGGCGAAGTCGTACTGCTGACTGCAGAGGGGTGTGACAGCAATAAGGTGTTTCCCTCGGATAACCAGCATATGCAGCGATGCTGCCTTCTCACAAGGAAGGAAGGGTTAGAAAAGGTCGACCCTAAGAATGTCACACCTTACCCTACCTCACGGATTTCCGTCTCCGTCGGTAAGGGTGCCCACTAAGGGCCTTTAAGAGCGAAGCTAATCCTCAGAAAACCTTTCATAAAAAGGCCGTGCCTGATCGGCCTCAAGCAGTTGTCCCTTGGGCTCTGCGGTCACGCACCCAGGTCTCCAAGACCAACACTAATCTATCTTCCTTTTCAGGTTCGTCAAGAAACAACCTTCCACGGTGTGGGCAGCCGGGAAGTGATAACCGCCCTCATACGCGTAACAGCACGAGAGACCAAATTGGTCAAAATCAAATCCTTCCTAATCCCCCTAATACCTCTCTTATCTCCACGACTAACTCTTCTCACATTCATTTATCACAGTGCACTGCTAATGCAAACGATGCGAGTTCGCGAAACCTCGTTCCTGGTCTCTTGAAACCCCGTTCTAAACTACATATTGGAGCATTTAATGTACAGACATTGTGTCGAATAGGGCAACAGGCATCATTAGCCAGGACTTTAGAATCTGGTGCCATCGATGTATGCTGCGTCTCGGAAACGCTCATACAGTATCCGAGTAGCATCATTCACTTGACCTCACCATGTCAAGATAAAGAAGCAGCTCGATTTACTCTTCGTGTATCCGGTAGCCCTGATGCTGCTTCCCGTGGTCTCGCTGGTGTAGGTATAGCATTAATTCGTAGGGCAGAACTAGTGCTCCTAGACCGGATTCCTGTAGATAGTCGTTTGTGCGCTGTCCGACTAAACAGGACAGTAAGAATTCGAAAGGATAGGGACACTCGTCGTTGCCTCTTCGTCATATCAGCCTACGCCCCCACTGACTGCAGTTCTGATGATGTAAAAGAGTTCTACAGAAAGCTTTCGGACCTCCTCCAAAAAGTTAAGCGCTCTGATATAGTAATAATGGCTGGTGACTTCAATACTCAAGTAGGTAGACTAAGTGAAAATGAAAGACACCTGGGTGGATGTTATAGTGTCGCGGCTCAAAGAACAGACAATGGTGACCGTCTGTTGCAACTGTGCTCAGATAACCAACTATTTCTAGCAAACACTAATTTTAAGCATAAGGAAAAACACCTTTTGACCTGGCGACCCCCGAAGTCGTCTCAACGTTGGACCCAACTAGATCATATCGCCATCAGCCACCGATGGAGGGGTTCGATAGAGGACTGCCTCTCGCTGTGGGGCACATGTTTAGATTCAGATCATGCCCTAGTGCGAGCTTGTATTTGTTTGAGGCTTACTGGACGTAGGAAATACACCGTAAGGAAGCCTCTTAGGGCTTTACTTGATGATAATCAAGCTAAGAAAATATTTCAGGAGGAACTAGAAAAACAGTTAGGCGACCATGCAAGTGATTCCCATCCGGATTCAGGTTGGAATGATATAAAGAAGACTGTGGAAACAGCAGTGATATCTGCTAGCAAGGTAAACCATAAGGCTAGGATGAAGCCGTAGATTTCAGTCGCATCCACCGAACTGATGGATGCTCGAAAACGCATCCCACTTGACTCTGAACATGATGAAGAGCGTAGTCAGCTTAGGCGCAGACTTATAAAAAGCCTACGTAACGACCGCAAACAGTGGTGGGTGGCGAAAGCAAAAGCGATGGAAAAGGCAGCGGCGATAGGCAACACTAGACAACTTTTCCGCCTTATCAAAGAAACCGGTATTAGGAACCCGAATATGAGTGAGACTATTTCGGAAAAGGATGGTCTTATTATCCATTCTCAATCCAGGAGACTGGATCAGTTCAACTGGCCTCGAGCCACACTTCGGTTGCCCACGATCCCCGGTCATCCCGAATGGCCAATCGATTTAAGTCCTCCCAGTCTACATGACGTTGAAAAAGCTATAGGAAATTTAAAGCGAAGTAGAGCAGCAGGTCATGATAGGCTTACCCCTGAGATGTTTAAGGATGGTGGTCCAGTCTTAACAGTTAGACTGACCGAGATCTTAGGTAGAATCTGGGAACTGGACGTAATCCCATCTGACTGGTCTCAGTCCCAATCTATAAGAAAGGACAAGAGTCTTCTTGTGACAATCACAGGGGAATAAGTCTAACTAATATAGTTTCTAAATTGTTAGCCTCGATTATACTTAGACGTCTAACTAGAGCTGGTGAAGAGCAGACTAGAGAAAACCAGTCGGGTTTTCGACCTGGTTGTATAGACCACATATTCACACTACGACAGGTCCTGGAACACAGACACACATTTAGGCGTCCTACAATAGTTGTTTTCCTGGACCTAAAAGCGGCATATGACTAAGTGGACCGTAAGGTTCTGTGGCAGTGTCTGTCATTGAAAGGTGTACCAAAGAAGTACATTAACTTTATACAAGCACTCTACTCGAACACTACTGGTCGAGTGAGAGCTTATGGCGAACTGTCACGGGAATTCTCAACACCAAGTAGTGTCCGTCAGGGCTGTCCACTCTCCATTTTTGTTTAGCTTTGTCGTAGACATCCTCTTAGAGTTAACAATAAGCTCGTCAGATTTTTCAGGACAAAATTCAGTCTTCTCACTACCCTGAGCAACAATGCAAGCATGTTCGGGATGCGGTTCTCACCCTCGAAATGCAAAATGTTGCTTCAAGACTGGGTTGCATCGGTACCTGAACTAGTGATAGGGAGTGAAGTAGTCGAGCGTGTAGACCGCTTCACTTATCTGGGGAATCTCATCAGTGCTGATGACCTGGTGACTGACGAAATCTCAGCTCGGATACAGAAGGCTCGATTGGCTTTTGCCAACCTGCGTCACTTATGGCGTAGGCGTGATATCCGTTCGCTAACCAAAGGACGGGTGTACTGTGCAGCAGTTTGCTCCGTTCTGCTAAATGGCTGTGAAACATGGCCGTTAAGAGTAGAAGACATTCGTAGGTTACTAGTATTCGATCATAGATGTTTAAGAAGCATTGCTCGTATATCCTGGGACAACCGAGTAAGCAATGCTGTCGTTAGGAAACGAGTACTAGGTAAGGATGGCAGATCAATAGATGAAGTATTGAAACTTCATCAGTTGAGGTGTTTGGGACATGTGTTACGTATGGCTAACCACCGACTGCCTCGACGAGCTATGTTTTGTGGTGTAGGAGTAGGTTGGAAGAAAGCTTGGGGCATCCAGACCAAAACATGGCAGAAATCCATGAGGTCACTGACCAGTGGACTGAGTCATGTTGGTAGATATAAATTACCTGGTTGGGGTCCGCGAGACGATAGTCACCAATGGTTAGAGACCTTGAACGACATGGCTCGGAATCGTTTGCAATGGCGCAAGTGTATCCATTCTTTGAGCTCTTTCAAATCCTAATCTTTGGATTCGTCAGTACCCCTACCTTTGTCTTTCTAACTTTATTTCACCTAATTATGCTTCTTGAATAATATCTTCGAACCCTAGTCTTCTTCATTACCATTAATACCTCTTCTATCTTTATCACTATGGGATTTGATTTGACATTTGCGTCTTTGTGCTAATGTGGTATGGCAACATGGACTTATGTACATACGTACGTAGTTCTACGTTGCAACTGACTGACTGACTGTAAATTATCAAATGAAAAAAGAGTTGTAAGCAGATTAATTGTGATAAACGTACAATGGTTATCGATCCAATAAGATTAACTGACCGTAGGGTTTAGGAAGGTAGGTATTAGTATCACTGACTTTTCACAAATAGTTTGCCTCAACGTCGAGCGTATGAATCAGTATTCGTGATACGTTCACGCACCGACTAAATTATTTTGCAACCCCTAACTTCAATACTATAA